GATGCGGCCTCGGAGTCAGACGTTCCCCACCCCTGGTGTAAATGTGCTGCCATGTACTGAACCACAATTTTACTGATGCCATTTGATTACTGCTAAAGTTTTGCTATTATCACATTACAGTGGTCACCCCTGAGGTACACATCCCTGCACATGTACTGGCAGGGTAGATGCCTAGAAATCCAATGGGGGCCAAAGGGCACACATGCTTGTAACACCTTGCTAGTGCTATATTATTATCTAAAAATATAATTTACAGCATTGTCAAAATTATGAGATTTCCTGTTTCTCTACACTCTTGTCAACACTATGTGCTATCAGCTTTTGCAGATCTTTAGGATGGTATTGTTTAGGATGGTGAACATTTTTACTTGAATACTGACAATCTGTCCTATTAACTACCAAAGTGGATCTTCTGATTACTTTTACTAGGTTATATGGTCCTCTTTCTTTTTTTTGTTTTAATCCTCATCCGAGGATATTTTTTTCCATTGATTTTTAGAGAGAGTGAAAGGGAGAGAGGAGGAGGGCAGAGAGAGAGAGAAAAAAAAAAACCACCAGTGTGAGAGAGACACATAGATTGGTTGCCTCCCACATGAGCCTAATGGGGGTGGGGGGAGAGATAGGGAGTGAACCTGCAATCCAGGTATGTGCCCTTGCCCTTGACCCAGAATCAAACTTGGGGCCCTTCGGTCCTTAGGCTGACGCTCTAAAAACTAAGCAAAATTGACCAGGGTCTACTATTTCTTATCAATTTACAATACTTTTATATAAACAGTTGATTGTTAAATGGGGGGGGGGGTAGAGGCACTGACCCCCACAGTCAAAAATCAACATGAAACTTTTATTTTTATTTACTGCTTTTAGAGAGAGGAAGAACAAGAGAGGAGGAGGGAGGAAAAAAGGGAAGGTGGGACGGGAGAGAGGGAGAGAAGGAGGGAGGGAGGGGAAGAGGAAAAGAGAGAGATGGATTTGTTGTTAAGCTTATTTATGCATTCATTGGTGGATTATTTTCTTTTGTTAATCCTCATTTGAGGATATTTTTTCCACTGATTTTTAAGAGAGTGGATGGGAGGGAAGGAGGAAGGGAAACATTGATGTGAAAGAGGCACATCCATTGCTTGTCTCTCGAATGTGACCCAACCAGGATATCAAATCTGCAACCCAGGAACATGCCCTTGACTGGAAATCGAACCTGAAACGCTTCTGTGCATGGGCTGACCACTTAGCTACACTGGCCAGGACCACTGATTGATTCTTGTATGTGCCCTGACTGGGGATCGAACCTGCAACCTTGGTGTGTCGGGACAATGCTCTAACCAAATGAGCCACCTGGCCAGGGCCTTGGAAATGCACATGTAACTTTTGACTCCCCAAAAACTTAGCTGTGGGAAGTTGATTCCAAGACCCCTGGCGGATACCCAAATCTACAGATGTTCAAGTGCCATATATAAAATAGCATAAGTCAGCGCATATAGTCGGCCCTTGGCATCAGTGGACTCCCAAACGTGGATGGAAAACAGTACAAGTGTTTGGGGGGGGGGGGGGGGACACACCGCGTATAGGTGGACCTGCACAGTCCAAACCTGTGTTGTTCAGGAGTCAATTGCAGGAGGAAGTAAGACCTGTCTTCCATGGCATCAGTGTTGAGTACTTATCCAAAGTCACCAGGATCCCCTTTTCTTTGCTGACTTTGCAGGAGCAATCCTTTCAACTTCTCCCACTATTTTATGTACTAATGAATTCATGCTTCTCCTTCCTGTCCTCTTTGTGAGGTCTATCACACTTGGCTAAATACATACTGTTTTCTAATCTTTCTTTTTTAAAATCCTCACCTGAGAATATTTTTTCCCATTGATTTTTTTAGAGAAAGTGGAAGGGAGGGAGGGAAGAAGGGAAGGAGGGGTGAGAAAGACACATGGATAGTTGCCTCCCTCACAAGCCCCAACTGCGGAGCTGGGAATCCTGCAACCCTGTGATCCTTTGGTGTGTGGACCCATGGGCACTCTAACCATAAGAAACACAGGCCAGGGTTCTAATTTTTTTTTTTTAATCCTCACCTGAGGATATGCTTCTATTAATTTTAGAGAGAGAAGGGAGAAAGAGAAACATCGACTGGTTGCCTCCCGTAAGCACCCGACTGGGGATCAAACCCACAACCTTTTCGGTGTACGGGATGACACTCCAACCAACTGAGCCACCCAGCCAGGGTGTTTTCTAATTTTTATTTATAAAAGTAGCACATATACACAGTTTTAAAAGGCAAACTACTGCCCGACGGGCGTGCCTCAGTGGTTAAGCATCCACCTATGAACCAGGAGATTACAGTTAGATTCCTGGTCAGGGCACATGCCTGGGTTAGGAGCTCGATCCCCAGGGTGGGGTGTGCAGGAGGCAGTCAATCAAGGAATCTCTCTCCCTCCCTTCCTCTCTGAAATCAATAAAAACATATTTTTTAAAAAATCCCTGATCTTTAAATAATAATAAAAACAGCCCTGGGCAGTTTGGCTCAGTGGATAGAGCGTTGGCCTGCAGACTGAAGGGTCCTGGGTTTGATTCTGGTCAAGGGCACATGCCCAAGTTGCAGATTAGGTCCCCAGTGGGGGGCGTGCAGCAGGCAGCCAATCAATGATTCTCTCTCATCATTGATTCTATCTCTCCCTCTCTGAAATAAATTAAAATATAATAATAATAATAATAAAATGGCAAACTAATGTAGTATCTCTCTCCACCCCCAATCCTTGTTCACAAGGGCAAGCACTTTCAAAACTTATTTGCGACCCAGCCGATGTGGCTCGGTGGTTGAGCATCAACCCTTAAAACAGGTCAGGGTTTGATTCCCGGTCAGGGCACATGCCCAGATTTCGGGCTTGATCCCCAGGGGGTGTGTGCAGGAGGCAGCCGATTGATGATTCTCATCATTGATGTTCCTACCTCTCTTCTTCTTCTGAAATCAACAAAAACATATAAAAAATATTAAAACAAAAAATACCAAAAAACAGCAACACTGGAATTTGCTGCCTTACTTCTAAATAGCATGCTTATGGGGCTTTTGAATGATTCTTTAGCCCTAGTCCCATGTTATCTACTGACTTCTTCATATGAGCAATGAAGATCTCGCTCTTATATCCTGTCCTCCAACTCACATAACCATGCCTCCTTCCTCCTAATAAGTTATATTTGGCTAAATTACTACATTTACATCATATAAAGATTATTTACAACCATGCCAGAAATATATTTCCACGTTTTAATTTTTAATGTTATTTTTTGTTTCTTTGGAGCTAACAACTGCCTCAGTTATTCTGTTCACTTAAGTTTGCTATGTACCTGTCGCTTTACTAATTCACCCTTAAACTCTGTGGCAGAAGTGTAAATCCCTCCAACAGTCAAGGAACCCTTTCCCTTGCAGACACTCATACTCTGGAGGCCTTGGTCCTGTTCTCAAGACCCACGGTGCTGGACTCCCTGTTCTGGATCCCATGCCTTGCTCTTTCTTGTCTCCCTTGCTGTGGGGAAATCTATCCCACCAACAGCTCCTGAGCAAGGCAAGCAAGTGGTTAATTTTAAGACCTTGCGTACTCAGGATGTTTTGATTCTGTCTACATTTGATTGAGACAGTTTGGCTGGGTAAAGAATTCTAAAGTCAGAATTATTTTCTCTCAGGAAATAGCCCCACCCAGCTTTAATGAGATATAACTGACATATAATATTGTGTAAGTTTTAGGTTTACAATGTGATAAATTGATACACATATATATTATCAAACCTTTACCACAATAAAGTTAACACATCCTTCACCTTACAAATTACAATTTTGTTGTTATTGTTATGGTGAGAACATATGAATCTACTCTCATAGCAACCTTCAAGAATTCAACACAGTAATATTAGCTACTGTCACCATGCTGCACATTAGGACACCAGAACTTATCCACCTTATAATTGTTTATACCTTTAACCACCATTTGCCCATTTCGCCCAACGCCCACCCCTGGCAACCACTGTTTCTGTGAGTTTGGTTTTTTAAGATTCCACATATAAAGAAGATACAGTATTTGTCTCTTTCTGACTTAACTTAGAATAATGTCCTTAAGTCCATCCATGTTGTGGCAAATAGCAGGATTTCCTCCTCTTTTTCTTTTTTTCTGGTTGAATAATATTCCTGTGTGTGTGTGTGTGTGTGTGTGTGTGTGTGTGTGTGAGAGAGAGAGAGAGAGAGATTTATGTTTCTAAGTTTAATCTATGTAGAAATCTGGCTCTTCAGTGACTTTCCTAAACTAGCACCACGCGCTCCCTCTGCGGTCTCCCTCTCCCTCCCCTGGTGCACTACCTTTGCCTTCCCCTTTCCTGAGCTCCACGGGCCTTTCTTTTGTAACTTGTTTCCTGAGCCTATGAAGCCCAACTGGCTCATTTTTACTACCTTTGTAACTTTCTAAATAAACTTTCTCTTATAATTTGAGAAAAAAATAGCCCAATGAATCACTGGTACAATTAAAAATAAATTCTAATATTCTCAATTCTCAATCTACTCTTAATATCAAGCTTCTTATTATTTCCTGCCAAAGAGAAAATAAGTCTGGCAATAAATTAAAAAGTTTCCCAGAAGGCAGGAGCAGCACCAAAGCTGGGTTTTCTTCCATTTCTATTACTGCTTTTGACAATGAAGAAATATACACCCATCATTTATTTATTTATTTTTTCCTAGCTGGTTTGGCTCAGTGGATGGAGCATCGGCCTGCAGATTGAAGGGTCTCGGGTTCGATTCCAGTCAAGGGGACATGCTCGGGTTGTGGGCTCAATCCCCAGTGTGGGGCATGAAGGAGGCAGCCAATCAATGATTCTCTCTCATCATTGATGTTCCTATCTCTCTCTCCCTCTCCCTTCCTCTCTGAAATCAATAAAAATACATATTTTTTTAAAAAAAGAAATATACATCCATTTTTAGTCTCAATACATCAAATATGTATAATCAAGAAGGACTTGTCTTCAATTTCACTTACCACACTCTGTTTCTATCAGTGTACCAGATCCATCACACTGATCCCAATACAGATGCCAGATTGTCAATAATATTCAGGGCTAATAACCACTTTTCTTAATGGCCCGAATTGTTAGCCTGCTACAAGTCAACATGAAAAGAGGAAGGTATTAAGACAGGAAAAGATGAATAGACTTGTTCAATTAAAATGACTTGTGCTTCACCTGATGGGGAAGGGGAAGGAAAGAAGTGAAGCTACTGGGTAAGGAGTCATTCCCAGGAGAGTCGCAGAGAGGAGGAAACAGTCATCAGTGGCAGCATCTAAGACAGGACACTGGGGGAGGTTAGCTTTAGGAAGGGAAGGGAAATGGCTAACTTTGAGGGGAACCAAAGAAAGTCTAGGGGCCATTCTCACCTGGGCTGTGCATTGGGGATCCCTCAGACTCATCCTGGAGCCATCAAGCCAGGACCTCTGGGGATTTGGGGGGTAGGGTGGGGATGGATTTTGAAGGAAACATTTTTTAAATATTATATGGTAAATTTATTTATTTTTAACGGGATTTACTCGGGTGATGTTAATAAAATTATATAAATTTCAAGTATACAATTCTATACTATATCCTCTGCCTACTGTATTACGTGTTCACCACCCCAAGTTGTTTTTGGTTTTTGAAATTCCACGATGATTCTAATGCACAGCTAGGCGGAAACGGCTGGTTTAAGGAGGCTGAAGCAAAGTGCCCACATAAGCCAGCGGTGGTAGTAGCACAAGTAGTTCCATCGTGGGCCACATGAAAAGCATGGGCAGGTCCTCTGCCTCCAAATTTATCAGCTCCCTGATCTGACCCACGACTCAGATGCCCTGAGATGCCAAATAGGCCGCACGGCTACAGAACCCTAAGCACTGACAGTGGCTCCAAAACAAACACCGGCTTTAAAAAGGAAAAAGCCTGAGTGGGCGTAAGCAGGATTTCTCCGCAAAAGAAACCAAAACCCTGATAAAAATAATCTAGTCCTGGCTGGTTTTCTCAATGGTTAGCGTGTTGACTCAAGAACCAAAGGATTGGAACAGGGGTGGGCAAACTTTTTGACTCGAGGGCCACAATGGGTTCTTAAACTGGACCGGAGGGCCGGAACAAAAGCATGGATGGAATGTTTGTGTGAACTAATATAAATTCAAAGTAAACATCATTACATAAAAGGGTACGGTCTTTTTTTTTTTTTTTTTAGTTTTATTCATTTCAAACGGGCTGGATCCGGCCCGCGGGCCGTAGTTTGCCCATGGCTGGATTGGAAGGTTCGATTCCTGGTCAAGAGCACGGTTCAGGGAGAACCAAGATGGCGGCATAGGTTAACGCCAGAGATTGCTGCCTTGAACAACCAAATCAAAACACACCTAAAGACGGAACGGACATCATCCAGAACCACTGGAAGGCTGGCTGAGTGGAAATTCTACAACTAGGAGGAAAGAGAACATCATACCCAGACTCAGAGGAGGCGCAGTGCTGAAGTGAAATACTCAGGTACGGAGTGCACGGGGAGCGGGCTGGCGGCGGAGGGTGCGGTTGGTGCTTTCAATCGGGAGGGAGTCTCAGATTCTGAGCTCCAGATCCGGGCGAGTCTCTAGGGACCCAGACTCAAACGGGAGAAGCGGGACTGTCTGGCTTCAGTTGGAACTCGAAGGCAGCTTTCTCTCCGAGGTTTGCAGCGGTTGCTAGGACTCTGTGAGGCAGAGCCTCTAGGGACGGAACTGAGAGCCGCCATAACTGCTCTCTCCGGCCCACCCTGTTGATCCCGAACCCGAGCGACCCACCGGCCCCGCCCAAGCCCTGCGCAGAGCCATTTGCTAGATAGCCTCAGGCAAAGGCTAGATTAGCACCTCCCTAGAGGACAGAAGTTTTCCCACTGCAGACACAGCTGATTCTCACAGCCAGCTGGCCTGGAGGTCAAATCCCCCTAGTATTAACTACAACAATCAAGGCTTAACCTCAGGAGGACTGCACACAAAGACCACTTGGGGGTGCACCAAGAAAGCATAAAAAATGCAGAGACAAAGAAAAAGGACAAAACTGCCAATGGAGGATATTCAGTTCAGAACCACACTTTTAAGGTCTCTCAAGAACTGTCTAGAAGCCGCTGATAAACTTAATGAGATCCTCAACAAATCTAATGAGACCCTCGATGTTATGATGAAGAACCAACTAGAAATTAAACATACACGGACTGAAATAACGAATATTATACAGACTCCCAACAGCAGACCAGAGGACCGCAAGAATCAAGGCAAAGGTTTGAAATGCGAAGAAGCTAAAAACACCCAACCGGAAAAGCAAAATGAAAAAAGAATCCGAAAATACGAAGATAGTGTAAGGAGCCTCTGGGACAGCTTCAAGCGTACCAACATCCCAATTATAGGGGTGCCAGAAGATGAGAGAGAGCAAGATATTGAAAACCTATTTGAAGAAATAATGACAGAAAACTTCCCCTACCTGGTGAAAGAAATAGACTTACAAGTCCAGGAAGCGCAGAGAACCCCAAACAAAAGGAATCCAAAGAGGACCACACCAAGACACATCATAATTAAAATGCCAAGAGCAAAAGACAAAGAGAGACTCTTAAGAGCAGCAAGAGAAAGAAAGGCAGTTACCTACAAGGGAATACCCATACGACTGTCAGCTGATTTCTCAACAGAAACTTTGCAGGCCAGAAGGGAATGGCAAGAAATATTCAAAGTGATGAATACCAAGAACCTACAACCAAGATTACTTTATCCAGCAAAGCTATCATTCAGAACTGAAGGTCAGATAAAGAGCTTCACAGATAAGGAAAAGCTAAAGGAGTTCATCACCACCAAACCAGTATTATATGAAATGCTGAAAGGTATCCTTTAAGAAGAGGAAGAAGAAGAAAAAGGTAAAGATACAAATTATGAACAACAAACATGCATCTCTCAACAAGTGAGTCTAACAATCAAGTGAATAAATAATCTGGTGATCATAATAGAATCAGGGACATAGAAAGGGAATGGACTGACTATTCTTGGGGGGGAAAGGGGTGTGGGAGATGCGGGAAGAGACTGGACAAAAATCGTGCGCCTATGGATGAGGACAGTGGGTGGGGAGTGAGGGAGGATGGTGGGGCGGGAACTGGGAGGAGGGGAGTTATGGGGGGGGGGGGAAGAGGAACAAATGTAATAATCTGAACAATAAAGATTTAATTAAGAAAAAAAAAATAAGGAATCTTAAAAAAAAAAAAAAAAAAGAGCACGGTTCAATCCCTGGCCCTGGTTGGGGCTCATACAGAGTCAATAATGCTTCAATAATCATTTGGCAACCTATTGTATATTTAGCATAGATTTGAAATTAATGTTCATTCTTTTTTTTTTTGTCCTTAATAATTTTGATTAAATTTTTTAAAACATGGGGATTTCCCTTTCTCTCTTACTGAAAGTCTAGATTGCAGAATGGTGCTTGCACTTTACTCGAAAAATGCTTTACTACTGGGCCAGCAGGATCAACTAAAGGGTGTATTCTCCACTAAAGGGCCTGGTCAGATAGTTTAACTTGATGAATTTCCTTGTCCAATTTATACAGCATTGAACTAGAAGTGATAGCTAATACAAAGACTCATTATTTTAAAAATACCCCAATAGACTAGAATTATGGTAGAAAACCAGTATTAACACAAATCAAATAAATTCAGGTAAGAAAAAAAAAATCAACAATACGCATGAAATAAACTAGGCCTATGCTGAAGGCAATTATTCCTGGGGCTGGCCCAAGAAGCGAAGTATTTACTCAGGAGACTGAACCAAGACCCAAAATAAGCTTGCTATGTTTGCAGTAGTAGATTTAACCTCTATAAGTTTCTAAAAGACAGACTGATGCTAGAGCAAATGAAAAGAAAAAAAGCTCATAAATAGAGCATCTGACACTGGAAAAGATGGCATAGTAAGGAGCGGCCTGCATTCCTAATGTGTTTAAAGCTGGCTAACTAACCTGCTACCGTAACATATATTTAAAAAATCAATTATTTCATTACGTTACAAATTTGTTTTTAATTAAATGGTTGCAGTTTAAGAAACCACTTGATTACTGCAGTGTTGACACAGGCATTCACCGTGTCAATCCTACAGTAAAGTCATCGTGTCACAGTATGTTGACATTTGAGTTTCTGCCACCAAGAACACTGAACAACAAAATCTGTCATATGAACCCAGAGGAAGGCTAGGGAATCACTGACAATTTTACTCCACAGATGGACGTTCCTTAGAAGGGCTGAGGCATTCAAGGCTCCTGGCCTGGCCGACATAACCTCCAGCTCACAGTCCTCTAGTTCAGTGCCCTATACTGCTTTGCATAACCCCCCAGGCCTGCGTAGCCCCCACTGCCTCTGCTGTCAGCCTACGTGTGCACCAACACTGAGAACGCCAGTGTCAACACCGCAGTGACAGCTGCAAAGGTCTTTCCATTCTTTGTTACTTGGTGAAAATATTTAGATCCTTCAAGGCGGAGGTAAAACTTACTGCAAATGCAAACCACGTGGGCTCAGAGTCAGCAGTCCCATGGATCTTTTCATCTCACGCTTGGTGTCGTGTCTTTTACCGTCCTTTGCAATAAATCAGTACCCTAGTGGGTAACCAGGATTTCTTGAGTTCTGTGAGCCCAGAAGGGACCGTTGGAACCAACAATTTGTAGTTGGTCAGTAGAAGCACAGGCATCTGGGGTGGAGGGCAGTGTTATGGGACTGAACCCTTTACCTGCCAAATCTGATTCTGCCTCCGGGTAGATCGGGTCAGAATTGAGTTGAATTATCAGACACCCTGGCTGGCATTGGAAAATTGCTTGTTGGTGTGGGGAGGCCTCCACACACATGCTGGTACTGGGCCTGGGGACCCTTTCCAGATGTCAATTCCATGAAAGCAAAAACTTCCATTTGTTTCAATGTTGTATCCACAGTGCTTAGAACAGTGCCTGGCATATAGCAGGTGTTTAATAATAAGTGTTTGTTAAATTAATGAGTGCATAAATAAACACACCTGCATAAAAGCATGGCTCATGCAATTTTTGGAAGGGAAGGTACAAGGTCTTTGGGGTACAAGGTCTGCTTCTCTCTTTTTAAATTGAATTTACTGAAATGAC